GTGGACATATAGGAGAAAGTCCAGCAGAGGGCAACAAATATGGTGAGGGGGTTGGGGCCCATGACTTTTGAGGAGAGTCTGAGGGAACTGGGCTTATTTAGCCTAGAGAAGAGGTGACTGAGAAGGGATTTAATAGCCTTCAACTACATTAAAGGGGTTTGAAAGAGGATAGAGCTAGGCTGTTTTCTGTGGTAGTAGATGACAGAACAAGAAGCAACACTCTCAACTTGCAGCAGGGGAACTTTAGGTTAGATATTAGGAAAAATTTTCTCGCTAGGCAGGCAGTAAAACACTGGAGTAGGTTACCCAGAGAGGTGGTGGAATCTCCATCCTTGGACGTTTTAAAGACCTGGCTAGACAAAGCTTTGGCTGGGATGATCTAGTTGGGGATGGTCTTGCTTTGAGCAGAGAGTTGGACCAGATGACCTCTTGAGTTCCCCTCCAACCTTAATTTTCTATGATTCTATGAAAAGAGGCTTAATTGAACTCAGCAATGGTAACATATGCCCCCTTCAGTTTTAGCTTCTTGGTCTTCCATTACTCTGCAGTGAATAATCTTTTACTTTTACTACCTTATTTTTGTTTCTGTAGGTCTCTATCCAGAAAAGTGCTTAAGCATATGCTTAACTTTTAAGTTGTGAGCGGCTGATAGAGGAGGATGTCACAATAGTCCTGATACGGCCTTATGCAGATCCACTTTCTTTTCCAGTATTTTTTCCCCTTAGATTGGGCTGATTTGTTAAAACCTCAGGGTATCACAAGCTTGGATAGAGCCATGCTTTCAGATGCAGTTCCTCTGCTTCTCTGCCCAGGTAGCTTTGCTGTTCCATGCAACTGTCCTGCGAACTAGATCTATGAAGAAAATTCTGAACAATTCAGATACTTGCTGATGCATTTTCTTCCTCTGTTTCAGAAAATCTTCAGAAGAAGTGGATATGGATAAAGTGACAGCAGCTATGGTACTAACCAGTTTGTCCACCAGCCCTTTGGTTCGCAGCCCTCCTGTCCGACCCAATGGTAAGCTTACATAATGCTCTGGGGGGTTGTGAAGAGTGGGAATATAATGTACTGAGAATTTGAACATTGCTTTTCAGTTTTGCAGCAGATGCCTTGTACATCTGAATAAGTATGGCAAGATATAATTTTCTTATTTCACCAGCAGCAGCAGTAATAATACAACTGGAAAAGGACATAGCAGAAAAGTTTACCCACTGTCATTCCAACTAAGGAACTTAGAGAGTAACTTTTTATCAGGAATAGTATAATCAGGTCAGTGAGGACAAGAAAGCTTGTGGAATCATCCTCTGGTGCAGACTTTTTTATACTATATTTATACCATACCTACTTCTAGACTACTGAGGGTCTCTAGACTCTATTCCTGTAGAGAAAGTACCTGAAAATAAGGCTTTTTAAGAGGCAATAGAGAGATGACAGCCTGCGTCAAACTAGCTTAGCTCTCCAAGGGAGCAAAGACTATAAACAATCCACCAATCAGAAACAAGCTGAGAGAAAGTGGGCACCGCCCCTTTCCTGAAGGGAGGGGGAAAGGAGCTCCCCGACTGGACTGTGGATTGGAGCACAGTGGACTTCATGGGTGGAACCCCCAAAGCGTATAAAAGTAGAGCATGCTCAGCACACTGGGAGAGAGACATGGCAAGGGACGGCAAGGAAAGAGGAACTCCGGAGATGATTGTCTTTGGGACTCCGCCTGAGCCTTGATGGTGTGCAGATAGGTGCATGGCGCTCAGGCTCCAGGAGCCACTCGAGGCAGCTTGAGCCTCAGAACCCGGCAAGCAGCTAGGTGGGCAGTACATGGATTGGTGCATGGGGAGCCGGGCCTGGGAGCAGCTCGAGGCTGCTCAGGCCTTACCCGCTGTGTGGACTGGCACACGAAGAGCCAGCTCTGGAAACAGCTCAAGGCTGCTCAGGCCCCACACAATGTGCAGGTCAGTGCAGGGAGAGCAGTTCAAGGCTGCTCAAGTTAGCTCCAGCTCTAGGTCGGGTAACCAGAGCCCTGTAGTGTAGCTCAGCATTAAACTAAAAGAGCCCTAGTGCCCAGAGCAGGGCCCAGGAAAGGGAAGGACCTCCAGCATAAAGCCGGGGAACCGGAGCCAGTAAGGGCTCAGCTGCCGTAAGAGTGCCCTGGGTGCCCAGTGCGGGGCACCAGGCCATCGAGAGGAGCTGGAGGCACCGCCGGAGAGAGGCCCTTGTGGGACTGGCCACCAGGGGATGAGCCTTGGCTGCTTCAGAGTGGGAGCATGAGTTGTTGGGGAAGCGGGTCACACAGGGGAGGAGGGCTTGGGGGAGGAGGGTCTGCAGCCTCCACCCTCCTCCACTGTGGCAGGGGTGTGTCCACATCCCAGGACCCTAAAGGGGAGAGGCTCCAGGGAACATCCTGTGGGGTGCTGGTTGCACCCCATATTTTGTGATTGATGTTGCTTCATACCGTAGAGGTTAATACAGTTATGGGTACCCCTTAAGGGGGTTTATATGGGTTTACCCATCTTCATTACCTGTATATGTTTACTGCCTATTATTGGAATATTGCTACCTCAACTTACCTGGGTTTATCTGAGTTGATTTGTATATGTGTTTATTGTGTTGATGTCTTGACTTACCTGTTCCAGGGTGTTAATGTTCATCTGTGCAGGGGGTTAATTGTTGCCAATGCTGTGAATCACCTGTTCTATGTTTTGAAGTCCTTTGAAGTGGTGCAATGTGTTTGCAGGTTATTGTGAAAGGTGTCACATACGAATTCTACTGTAAATATTTAATGTCTATTATTTATATTTATTTTGTATAGCAGTAAATTTGTATATAGTTAAGTGCTTTGTCCTGGCCTGGCTCTATAGAGAAAAGAAGGAACTGCTCCCCAGTGGCAGGCCCGTCTCACAGCACTCTTGCCTGATCACCCCATTCCTTCCACTTGCAGACAGGGCACATCCCTGGTTGTGCCTGGGCTACACTTATATGGCTCCTACCACCATATTATCTGAGCACCTTCCAAGTAATTAAAAACAGAGCATCAGGGCATGCTACCTAGCAGCTCTTGACTGAAAAGCTCTCTTAAACTCTACTAAAGCATTAATATATAAATGGTCATGGCTGAATATGATTTTTTAAAAGTACAGTTTGAGTGTTCTGTGATTTTTTTTCACATATACAGTTTGAGTATTTCCTAAATACTGGAAAGGCAGTCTTTAAAAGTTTTGATTCAAATATTTTCAAAACTAAGAACCAAATTCTGAAGCCCTTACTCGAGCAAAATGCCCTTTGAAGAGGCTAAGTCTTGCCTGAATGAGGATTTAATTATTTAAACCTCTCTTAGTACTGCTGGACTACTACACTGTTTCTGGTTTTGATGTCAGTAATGTAAGAAAATACATATCTAACAGTAATAACTTAATTGTAGGAATAATTCTTCATTTCTTTTAGCTCTGTAATTAAGGAAACTTGTGTAACAATGGCGTTTTGTGTACCCATAAAGAATGTAATGTTAAGTATTAGGTTTTAAGTCAGATTTGGGGGGAAATTATTCTGTGTTAACGTGTATGAAGTAGATCAGAATCTGGCCCTTATTCCCCACAATTTAAATGAGATTATTATCACTAAGGCCATTGCTCTGGCAATGTAAAAAGAATACTAATGTGAGAATAAATTACACTTATACCTGTTTCAAAATCTTTTTTACTGCCAAGTGTGTTTGTGTTAATGAGCCACAGACTCACTGTGTTTTTTCTTTCTTGTTGTCAACTTCATTCAGTCATTACATAGTACCTGTTTTCAAAAATGTTCCTGATTAAATCTCTTCTCAGTGAGGTGAGGGAAGCTGTAAAACCAGAAAACACAAAGTACTTCCATAAACATGTAGGAAAACTATGCTGGAAAGACAATTGTTTCCTTTGTTGTCCTGAACAAACAGCATTTTTAAGCTGTGCAAAGTTCATAAGTTGATACCGATGTGCTTCTTGGCTTTGGCATGAGACTAGATTGTAAATAATTAAAAAAAGAGCAAGAAAAGAGGAAAAACAGAGAGAGAGATCGCATGTTTGAAAGAGCCACCCAGATACCACGTGAAGAATTGCTGCAGTACAGAAGAAAAACCCCCATGAATTGAACACCGCTGGTTATGACATATCATCCCTCCCTCAAACCCATATGGAAAATCCTCAAACAATTGCAACCCATACTAGAAAGGGACCCTATTCTTAAAGAGATCTTCCCAGAAGCACCCATCCTAGCCTTCAAACAAGCACCAAACCTCACTAACCTCATCAGAAGCAAACTTCCTCAGGCCCAGAACACACCAAATGGATCCAGATCATGCCATGACAAGAAATGCGAAACCTGCCAACACATCTCCACCACCCACACAATCACTATATCCCACAACAGAGCCATCAGCATTCCTGGGTCTTACAGCTGCACCTCCAGAAATGTAATATATCTCATCCAATGCACCAAATGCCCTGATGGAAAATACGTAGGAAAGACCAAACAACAACTGTGCACCAGAATGAATGCACATCGGAAATCTAGCAAAGACAAGAATACCCAACTACCTGTGGGGGCACATTTCTCACAAGAAAACCACTCTCTATCCAATCTGTCAGGTTTTGTAAAATCCTCAAAGGGAACTTACAAAACACTTCTCAGAGATGAGCCTATCAACTTCATCAACCTCCTGGATACAAAAAAATCATGAACTAAATATAGACATTGGATTTATGACACATTATAACCTGCCTGACATCTGACTCCCCAGGTACCTCTCCACTATTTAACTGCTACTTTCATCCCCCTTTTACTCCCCTCCCCCTCACCCAGCCTGTCTCTCACCCAGTGACTCCTCAGTTTATATCTTCACTGACTGCCTGTCTTGCATGCAGCCCAGCCTCTGGCTTCTTTACTATTCATTCCATCCAGGAAGAGCACACACCAACTGCAGAGGCTTCCTCAGCCTGATGAAGGGTTCTTAAACCCGAAAGCTTCCTAAAAAAAATTTCCAACTATTTAAGTTGGTCTAAAAAAAATATCAGATTCACCCAAAGAACCTTGTCTGCCTAGGTCCTTAAACCAACACAGCTACAACCT